CCCCCCCCAACCAGAAAGAGGAGGAATTGCGTAAGGAGGAAGAGCGGAAAAAGGCTCTGGATGCCCGGCTGCGGTTTGAGCAGGAACGGATGGAGCAGGAGCGGCTGGAGCAGGAGGAGAGGGAGCGGCGCTACCGGGAGCGTGAGGAGCAGATCGAGGAGCACAGGCATGGCAGGGGCTGGGTGGGATGTGGGTGCGGGATGGCTGAGCACATGCTGTGAGTGGCTGGGTGGGCACATGGGTGTCCCTCATGGGGTGGGGTTGGGGCAGGGACTGGCAGGAGCCGGTGCCCAGCGTCTCTCCCCCATGCCCCCCTGGCAGGCGGAAGCAGCAGAGCATGGAGGCGGAGGAGGCCCGACAGCGCCTGAAGGAGCAGTCCATCTTTGTAAGTTGGAGTCGAGACTGCCACTGGGCATCCCCTCGGGGAAGGAATTTTCCCAGCTGGATGCCCAGGACATCCCAGAGCTTGGGAGGTGATGCTGCATGTCTTTCCAGGGGGACCAGCAAGAGGAGGATGACAGACAGCAGTTCAGAAAATCGGAGTCGGAGGTGGAGGTGAGTGCGGTGATGGCCATGCCTGGTGCTGGTCCTCACTCCCCAGCCAGCAGTGCCTATAGCTGGATGGGGATGCAGCTAGGGGGTGCATGGAGGGTGGTCCCACAGCCCCACACCACCAGGGCAGTGGGGCTCAGCCTCCCCCATCCACACAGGAGGCTGCTGCCATCATTGCTCAGCGGCCCGACAACCCCCGGGATTTCTTCAAGCAGCAGGAGCGAGTGGCATCGGGCAGCAGTGATGCTGTCTCACCAGGCAGCCACAGGACAGGTGAGGGGCTGAGGGGGAACCGTGGGCAGGGGGGTGGGCACTGAGAGGCTAAGGGGGCCTGTGGAGCAGGTGAGTGTGGTGTCGCAGCACAAAAAATCACAGTGGGATGTGGAGGGACCAGGGATGCAATGAGGAGGGTGTGTGTACCCTTTGCCATCCCTGGCATCGTGGTTCTGGGTGCCAAGGTCACAAGGATGGCAGGGGTCATCCTCCTCTGCTGTGTCACCATCACTGCCACTATCACCGCCGCTGCCACCGCAAATCACGTGGCCCCTGCAGCTGGGGCAGCTTGGCAGGGCTGGATGTCGGGGTGTTTTCAGCAAAACGGGGCTCACCCTGCTCCCTGCTCAGTGTCGTCCGCTCACCTGTCACAGCACTGCACCAGCAGCTGGGTTGGGTGCGTGGTTGGTACAGCAGGAGAGGCAGCTGCAGGTCCAGGGATTGCTTGGGAACACATCCCATGATGACAGCTAAAAGGGGCAGGAGTGAGTGAGGCACATGTGGGGCACTCAGTGTGCTGCCAGCTGGCAGGGGGTGCCCCATGGAGAGACCAGGCTGCCCCACAGGGGTCCAGCCCCAGAATTGTTTTTATGGCTCTCAGGCAGGGGCTGGCTGTCCTGGTGAGTGCCTCCAGCCGTGGGGCCGTGTCATGGTGCTGTGCTGGGGGGAGCTGTGCCAGGAGGGAGCCTGTGATGTGTGTCCTTGCTGTGGTGTTTTGCCATGGGTTGTGCCATGGGCTGTGCTGTGGGGCTGTGCTGTGGGGTTGTGCTGTGGTGCTGTGCCTTGGGGCAGTGCTGTGGGCTGTGCCATGGGGCCGTGCCGTGAGTTGTGCCGTAGATTCACGCTGTGGGGTTGTGCTGTGCCTGAGCACATGGTTGGTCCCACGGCCATGTTCTGGCCTCTCTTCTCCCCTGGCCAGGCAGTGCTGCCTCCCATCTTTCTGTCCTGCTGCCTTTCCATCCTCTTGTCCTGCCATTCTCCTGCCACGTTGTTGGTGTTGCCTCCCATCCGTCTGGCCTCCCATCCCGGTGCCCTGATGCTCCAGCCCCGCCATAAGTGCGCTGAGCAGGGACTGACCCATCTCTCTCTCTCTCTCTCCGTCTGTCCGTCCGTCTGTCTTTCTCTCACAGGTCGTCTTCACTGTCCTTTCATAAAGACAGCTGACAGTGGGCCGCCTTCTTCCTCCTCCTCCTCCTCCTCCCCCCCGCGGACCCCCTTCCCCTATATCACCTGCCACCGCACCCCAAATCTCTCCTCTTTCTTCCCATGTAGGTAGCTGGGAGCTCGCGGGCACACAGCTCCAGGGGGCCGAGCCGCGGGCAGCTGCCCCAGAGCCCCCCAGCCCCACGGCACACCGGACCAACAGCGGAGGCATCGCCCCTCCCACGGGCACCCTGAGGGGGATGGGCACTCAGGCGGGACCATGCCCACACCCCTGGGCACTCGGCATGCCTTACTGGGGCTGTGCCCCTGGGGAGGGGGTGTTGGGCAGGCTGTGCCCGTGGGTCAGATGGGGACAGGGCAGAGCTGTGCCTGGGGGTGGGATGGAGCAGACTGTGCCCATGGGGTAGAGGGGCACAGGGCAGGCTCTGGCAATGGAGCATAAATGGGACAGGACAGCTGTGCCCTGGATCATGCAGGACTGTGCTCATGGAGCACTGTGGAATGGAAAAGGCTGTGCCCAGGTTATATGGGGCTGTGCCCATGGGGCAGGATAGGATGGAAAGGGCTGTGCCCAGGATCATGTGGGGCTGTGCCTATAGGGAAGAAGGAGATGGGATAACTGTGCCCATGGGGCAGAGGGGGATGGGAAATCTCTGCCCTGAACCATGCAGGACTGTGCCCATGGAGCAGCATGGGATGGAAAAAGTGATGCCCTGGATCATGTGGAGCTGTGCCAAAGGGCAGGCGGGGGGCCATGTAGGGTTGTGCTCCTGCCAGGCATGGGTGACAGGGCACAAAGCTGTACCTGCAGGGGCAAAGCAGTGCCAGGGCAGTGCCAGGGCACAGCTAGGTGACATGTGGGCAGGGCCAGTGTGCACCATGGCAGGTACGGGGCTGCCCGTCCCCGTGCCTGGCAGGTGCAGGGCCTGGGACTCCTGGGGGTGGTAGGGATGCCTGGAGGGGTCATGGTGGTTGCTGCAGCCATAGAAGCCTCTGCCCCACCACCCGGGAGGGGATGACATGGTGGCTGGTACATGGTGATGTGCATTTGGCAGCTGGTGGCTGGGTTGGTGTGGGGCAGGAGCGGTGCTGGGGTGCTGGTCTCCCCCTCAATGTGGGCAGCCCTCCCACGCCACCCCATCTCCCTTGTCTGCAGGCAGCCAGTCGGACGCCTTCCGCAAGGCCTCAGCAGCGGGCTGCAGCCCCTGCGAGCCCAGCCCGGCCGCCACGCCGCTGGGCGACCCGGGCACCCGCGCGTCCGCTGATGAGACGCCGGCAACGCCCAAAGGTGGGCGCAGGGCTGGCACTGCCTCCCCCTGCACGGGGCTGCCCGGGTCCACCCCCGTGGTTTCCCACGGTGCATCCCCCACTGCAGCCCTCTGGCTCTGCTGCAGCCCCCCCTGCAGCCCTGCCAACTGCCCATGCATTGCTCAGTGCATCTGTGCTGTCCCATCTGCATCCCTCAGCATATCTGCTGTGTCCCACAGCACATTCCCTGCTGCAGCCCCCCTGGCTCTGCTGCAGCCCCCCCTGCAGCTCTGCCAACCACCTTTGCATCGCTCAGTGCATCCGTGCTGTCCTGCCTGTACCCCTTGGCGTATCCCCACCGTCTCTGCTGTGTCCCCCAGCACATCCCCGCCGTACCTGCTGTTCCGTGCCGCTGCATCCCTGCCGTCTCTGCTGCATCCCCCAGTGCAGCCCTGCCGTCATTGCTGCATGCATCCCTGCTGCCTCCAGTGCATTTCCTGACACCAGTGCAGCCCTGCTGTCTCTGCTGCAGCCTCAGCCATGCATCCCCCCATCTCCAGTGCATTCCCCGTGCTCCATACATGCTGGCTGTCCCTGCTGCACATCCCAGTGCGATGCTGCCCTATCTGCACCGTCCCACTGTACCATCCTTGCCAGGGCTGCTGCATCCCCCTGTGCATCCCCTCTGCCCCACTGCACCCCACTGCATCCAAGCCAGTTCTGCTGCAGGCGCCATGTGTCCCTGCTGCATCCCCACTTGGCCCCTTGGCATCTTATGGTGCATCCCAGCTTTCCCTTCTCCCACCTCCTCCACAGCCCCTTCTGCTTTTCCAGCCGCTCCCCAAGGGATCACTTTGCCCCCTCCCTATGTCCACTCACTCCCGGTCCCCTGGTGCATGCCAGTCCCCTCCCTGTACAGCCACTCCCACCCATCCCTGCAGCATCCCCACATTGTGCCCAGTCCATAGGACCCCAAATCCCCTCCAGCTGCAGCCCTGTTCCTGGGTGACACCCAGCCATGGATGAGGGTGTCTGTCCCCACTGACTGCTGTCCCCTCCTTGCAGAGTCCCCCAGCCCCAGCGCACAGGAGCCCGGGCCAGCCACGCCCGAGCAGCACTGGCCCTTCCCGGGGCCCGAGGACAAGGCCACTGAGCCCCCCGGGGATGAACCCAGCAGCCCCAGGTCGGTGTGGACAGCGGGGGGTGATGCCCTGGGGGACCTGGTGACCCTGGAGCCCACCGAGCCCTCCCCACTGCCCGTGGCCGCCGAGCCTCAGACTGGGGAGGCTCCCAACCCCGAGAGCCTCATCGACCTGTGGCAGAGCGATGGGGCAAACCCCCCAGCTGCTTGGCCCCTGCCTGCTGCCCCTGTCCCCGAAGCCCCCCCATCCGCACTGCCCGAGGAGGGGGCCCTGCTGAGCCTGGACGAGCTGCCTGAGCCCCCTGCCACCTTCTGCGACGTGGAGCAGGAGGATGAGGAAGATGAAGCAGCTGGCGAGGGGGACCCCCAGTCCCAGGGGCTCGGCTGCCAGCACGTGCCCCAGGAGGACAGTCCGGGCAGAGAGAGTCCCCCCATCACCAATGGGGAGATGGCCCCCAAGGATGGGACGCCAGGTCGTGGGGAGCAGGTGAGCACCACTGGGGGGTGGGAGGTCAGGGTGTGATGGGGTGGCTGGGGGGGTCCTGACCACCTGCCCCCCACCCCCCAGGCCAGCGAGGGCTACTTCAGCCAGTCCCAAGAGGAGGAGGTGCCCCCCCCCGAGGAGCTGTCGGCCAAAGCCCCCCAGCCCGTCTTCTACAACAAGCCCCCAGGTGAGTGAGGACAGTGAGGAGTGAGGTCTGTTCCTCCATGGGGCACCCCAAGCCATCTTGACGCCCCCCTCCCTGTCCTCTAGAGATCGACATCACGTGCTGGGATGCAGACCCCCTGCCCGAGGAGGAAGAGAGCTTTGGGGGGGCCCTGTGAGCCCGGGCCCCGCTGCCGGTGCAGGCAGCCTGCCCCGGCCGGCGCGGGGCACGAGGGGGCTGCAGCCAGGGGCCGGGCCCCCCCCTCACCCCACTGAGGCCCCGCAGGATGAGGCCTCCAGGTGGGGGCCGCCCCGCTGCAACCCCGCCCCGGGGCACCTTTTACAGCCCCCCCTTCTCCTCTCTTTTTTAAGTTGTCGGTAGGAGCCGTGTCAGCCCCCCAGCCCCACCTTAGCAGTCCCCCCCCAATACCCCAGCGCCCCTTTGGGGGGGACGACACACACGCTCGCATCCCCTGCCTGGCTGTGGGACAGGGTCCTCGTTCTCTTCGTGCCCCCCCCAGGAGTCCCCCAGTACTTTGCACGAGTTCAAAGAAAAGAAATAATAATAATAATAATAATAATAATAAATGAATATGGCAATAAAGTGACCCAACCGAGGCGAGGCTGCGGCCAGCGGCGTCCCCCCCCAAATCCCAGCAGGGAGCTGGTGTGGGGGCTTTTACCCCTTCCCGACTCCCTCCTTGCTGGGAGCCCCATCCCCTCCTGCTTGGCCCCTGCTTGGCCCCTCTCCCCCTGTTCCCTTTGGAAACTTTTTGGAAAGCACAAGTTCTGTACCGGCAGTGTGCTCATGTCTGTTAATAAATAAAGCGTCTCCCACAGGGGCTGCAGCCTGCTGGGGGGGCAGGGAGGGCTGGGAGAGGTGTGGGGGTCCCATGATGCCAGCCTACCGGGAGGCAAACCCGAGCCACAAACTTTTATTCTCAAACTGTAACAAACAAAAAATTTAAGAAACAGAGCAGAGTCCGGGTCCCCAGCGACCCCGGCCATGGGGGGGCTGGCGGGGGCCAGACGGGGAACCAGCCCCTTCCGCGCCGGCGGCGATGGCCCGCGCCGGGGCGGGTGTCCCCGAGGTGACATGGGCAATCAAAACCACCCACCCCCCAGGTGCATGGCAAGGTCCGGGGGTCCCCCGTGGCTGCCGTTACACAGCAGTAGTCCTGCCGAAGAGGGGCATGGAGACCGGGAGGTGCCAGGGTCCCGGCTCGTAGGTGTCCCTGCTGCTGAGCTCCGAGTCCGTCCAGCTGGGAAACATGCGTGGGGAGCACTCCTGCTGCAGGTAGAGGTCCGGGCAGGCAGGGCCGGGGCTGGCAGAGCGGGGCAGGTGCAGCGCCGAACCATAGCTGGCATCGAGGAAAAGTGGTTTGTAGCTGGGGGGCTGCTCCTGCTTCTCCAGCCGCTCGTGGCTCAGGAAAGGGGCGTTGATTTTGCGGTAGAGCCCCCGCGTGTCCATCAGCACCTCGCTGTATGGTGGGGGGGGCTCTGCCATCAACAGAGCTTCCTCATAGCACGGCGGCTTTGACAGGTCCGACTCTGCAAGGCAAAGCCCCCCCCGGACCCCTGCTGCCGTCAGCGCTGCGCTCTGGCTCTCACGTCGTATCCCCCCCAAAACAGGGGGAGGCACGTGCTCCGGGGATGCGAGAGCCCCTCCCTGCTCCTTACCGTGCCGGCAGCTCCAGGGCCGGGGGGGTGGGATGTGGTGGGGGTGATGATGATGGTGGGGGTCGAGGCGGAGGCGGTGGGGAATGGCGATGCCGGGGGGGCTGCCCCTGTAACCCTCATAGTGCAGTGGCTCCATCTCCAGGGCGCGCAGGCTCTGCTCCCGCAGCCGCTCCTCCTGCTGCCGCTTCACCCGCCGCCGCAGGTAGCTGCAGAAGCAGCATAGCAGCACGATGAGGCCCCAGATGAGCCAGAAGCCCGCAAAGCAGGTGAGGAAGGTGTAGGTGCCCTGGGACATCACCATCTTGGCTGCCGGACCCGGGGGGAGGCCCCCGCCTTTCCCTGCCCTCGGGGTGGGGGACGGGATGCTCAGGGCGGCGGCAGGGTCAGGGAGGACCCGATGCTGTCAGGGCCGCCGAGGGCATCTCCCCGGGCTGTGCCCGGCGCCGTCTCCTCTGGCCTGCGGGTGCCTGCCGTCAGGGGTCCATCCTTGCCATAGAGCTGGGGGGGGCTGGAGCGGGTGGGTCAGGCGTGGGTGCGCTGGGCGGGCGGCGGGGCGGGGGGCCGGCGGGGCGGGCGGTGGGGGGATGGGGCTGGCAGGGTCCTGCTGCCCATCGCTGGGGGGGACCGCCGGGGTGGGGGCCCTGCAACGAGACAGACGCGAGCGTGAGCGACACAGAAACGTGGACGCCCTGTTCCCATGGTGACTCGCTCCACATGCGCTGCAGTGCCCGCAGCCGGAGGGGAACCGTGCCTGGGCCCCCTCATGCACCCCATCATCGCCTCCATGGCTGCAAACCTGCACACCCCATCCAGAACCCCCCCACAGCACTGCCGGCCACTCTGGGGCAGGAGATGGATGCTGTGGTCCTGACCTTTCAGATCATGGGGTGCCCACTGGGATCCCCTTCTCCTGCTCACCCAGCGCACCCCAAATTGGCTGCCAAGCCCAGGCAGCTCATTCATCCCTGTGCTGCCACACAGCAGGGTGCCCTGGGGTGCCCCGGGGAGAATGAGGGATGTGCAGAGCTGCCAGTTGCCTGTGGCACGTGGCGCTTGCAAGAGCACGTGCACTGTGGCCATCGCTGGCCTCGCAGCCACCCGAGGGGGCTCAGGGGATGGTGGCACCTCGACACAGCAATGCAGGGCCGAGGAGTGGTGAGGATGGGAACCATCACCCCTGCCAGGTCCCAGCCTTCAGACAGGGTGATAGCTCAGTCATGTCCAACCCAGCACCGAATGATAATGGTGTGTACCAGGGGCAGGTGTGCCCCTCAGTGCGCAGGGAGCAGCACCCGTGGGTGCTCACAGGCAGGCAAGTAAGCACCCATCAGGATTCTCATTGTGGTGGTGTGGGAGAAAACGGGCTCGGCAGCAGGGAGGAGGGTGAGCATGGAGCGGTGGCAGCCGAGGGCTGCGAGACCACTCATGTGGCTCTGCTCAGAGACAGCCGAAGGGGTGTGGGGTGCTCGACCACCCCGCGGGCCAGGGCCACGCTGCCGGCAAGGGGGACGGCAGTGCCACCAGGTGCTGAGGGTGCTGGCAGGGCCGGAGGGCCGAGCCCGGCGGAAGGAAGGAGTGATGGGGAAGGAAGAAGCAACGGGGAAGGAAGGAGCAATGGGGAAGGAAGGAGCAATGGAGAAGGAAGGAGTCAGGGGCCCTGGCCACTGGCAGGCAGTGGGGGTTGCTCCATCACGCAGACAAACGCGTGGGCAGAGGCAGTGCTGCGATGTGGGTGTATGGGGAGGGGGTCCCCGCTGCCCGGCTGAGGCCACTGGGTGCAGGCAGGGCTCGCCAGCCGCGGCTGCAACAGGCTCCGCGCCGGCAGCCTGGGCATCCCCGGGGAGGGGGGCACCGTGCGGGAAGGGCCATGGGTCGAGACCCGGGATGACGGCCGGGGGGACACCAGGAAGCGGTGCAGGGCTGGCTGGCGGCGCCGCGGACCGGGGGCGTTCGCAGCTGGGGCGTGCGGGGGGAGTGGGGCTGCCGGGGACGTGCGGGCTGGGGGAGGAGCGGGGCCGGGCTGGAGACACTCATACCGGGCGGGGAGCGGAGCGGCCGCCAAGCCGGGCCCCGCCGGTACCCCCGGGCCGCCCTGCTGCCCCCGGCCGCGGCCTGGGCCCCGCTACACTCGTCGCATCCCTGCCCGGTGCCTCTGCCGGGAGGGTGACACCCCGGCGGGGAACCTCCCCGCTCTCGGTGCCGGGCGCGGCACCCCTTCCTCATCACCATCCTCCTCCTCCTCCCCCGGGGCGCGCGCCCGCCGAGGCCAGACCGGAGATGCGCGCCCCGGTACGCGCCGCGCGCCCCCGCCGCGATCCCCGGTGGCGGCGGCCCCGCGCGCCCCCGCCCCGGCCCCGCTGCCCCCGCACCGCGCAACAGGCGG